CAGGGAGTTTTCCAGACAAGAATACTGGAATGAGCTGCCATTTCCTCCTCCAAAGGATCTTCCCAACCCAGTGATCAAACCCAGGTCTCTTGCACCTCCTGCATTGGCAGGCAGATTCTTTACCACTGAGCTGGCAGGGAAGCCCAGGGACCCAGATGAAGAGTAACAAAAAGTTAAATAGCAGTTACTGTGATGTCAGGCAATGTTCTAAGGCATCTACGTATATTACATGTTCAATCTTTGTATTACCATCTCCAGTTTACAGACAGGAAAACCAAGGAACAGAGAGGCTACTTAACTTGCTGGAGATCAACCAGCTTAGAAGTGAGAGACCTGGCCTTGGAATCCAGGCAATTGGGTTTTACATATTACTCTATAATCTAGCAGAAACTTCATCTGTCTGTCATGTTACCCAGTTTTTCCTCTTGAGTTGTTCTCCTCTAAACATGCCTCACTTTCTGTATATCCCATAAAATCCAATTCCGTAGATTTGATCTGAGTAGCAGAGTAGAACAAAACTATTCACCTCCCCATTTTAAGACAATATTGCTCAAGATTACATCATATTTAAGGACAATCATGTGATACTACTGGTTCATAATATGTTTAGTTAACCAGGAACCACAAGTACTTTCCCAGATTGCCCCAGTTAAGAAGTATTTCCTCCTGTGTCTGTGCAGTTAGCATTTTTGATGCAGCAGCAGAATCATTACTCAGGGTGTTGATTTTACCCCTTTGTCCTGAGGCAACCGTCATGGAAGTCTCATCTTCTAAAGACCTCTTGGTCATCTCCACAGAGCCAAGATTCCAAACTAGAAAAGCTCCCCTAGGAAGGGTGGGGCAAGGGGGCTGAATAGCATCCTAGAGACACAGACCTACATAAAACACTGGGAACTTGATCAAGTTTCTTAACCTTGCAAATATTCAGCATTCTCCTATATAAAATGTGAATAATAATAACTACCCCATAGAGACATGAGGATAAAAGTTAAAGGAGAAAGTAGACATTAATCTGTCTGCACAGTGCCTGGCACACAGGAAGGGCTGGGGAGCAGACAGTGGCTCTTGGTATAAATCCTTGGCCCTGGGGAAGCAACCCCTAGATAATCCAGCGATCATGTCCCAGCTTCTCACCTGAAACTGCCCCGCTTCCCCACCAAGACCAGATACATAACCTGTGGGGCTCAGTGCAGAAGGAAAACATGGTGGCCTTTGTTGAAAACTTACTAAGAATTTTAACACAGCAACAGCAGAACACTAAACCAAGGGCAGGGCGTTTTTAGCCTTCTGAGGATCTTGTATAAAAGGGGCCCACTGTATAGTGTCCTGATACTAAGCCTGCCACTGTAAGAAAGTTCTGCACCTTGGTGCCTTCAAACAACACATATTAGTTATCTTCAGTTCTGGAGGCCAGAAGTCTGACAGAGGTCTCACTGGGCTGAAGTCAAAGTGTCAGCAGAAGTGCATTCCTTTCTGGAGGTTCCAGGTGATAACCTGTTAGACACTGTCCTTGCCTTTTTCAGTATCTACAGGTCGCCCCCACTCACAGCTCTTTTCCATCTTCAAAGCCAGCAGTGTCTGGCTGAGTCCTTCTCACATTGCCACTGCTCTGGCTTTCTCTTCCACATTTAAGTGCTCAGGGATTACTCTGGGCTCGTCTAGATAATTCAGGATGATCTCCTTATTCTAAAGCAAACTGATTAGCCACCTCAATTCCATCTGCAACCTTAATTCTCCTTTGCCATGTAATACACCATGTTCGAAGGTTCCAGAGATCAGGACGTGGACAACCTTGGGAGGCCATTACCTGCCTACCATACATGCTGCTCATGAAGCCAGTCCTGCTGAATCCCAAAGTTCAGAGATCCCAGAGGTCTGTCTAGCGGCTGCAGCATGAAGACCCTGTGACCCTCCAATCCGTACACACAGATCTGGTGGCCATACTCCTAGTGGTAACACCGCAAACAACCACAGCCACCTTGGATGGACCCTAACCTGCTCCCAGGAGGATCCAGAGCCCCGGCTCCAGGCTGCATTCTTTCCCTGCTGTAATCCCATCCCGACTCTTTCCACTTCAATGTTCTTTCCACAGAGTCTCCCCAGCTCAGGACCCACGGCTCCTTTGGGGGCAGGTGTGCATGCTTCTGCCCCCGTTGCTCCCATCAGGGGCTGCAGAAAATAGTCCAATCCCCTTTACCAGCCCCCTGTTCCCTGGTGGCTCAGACATAAAGAATCGGCCTGCAGTGCTGGAGACCCAGGTTCAACCCCTGGGTCAGAAAGGGAATGGCTACCCACTCCAGTATTCCTGCCTGGAGAATTCCATAGACAGAGGAGCCTCTGGGCTACAGTTCATGAAGAGTCAGACATAGTTTAGCGACTAAACCACCACCACCACCAAGGAGGGGTTGAGTCACAAATTACAGCTGGGCAGTGACAAGTACAGATGACAGCTGGGGCTTGTGACTGGCACCTAAAGTGGAGCCAGTCTTGTGGGACTGAGCCCTTAACTTATGGGATCTGACACTAACTCTGGTAGGTAGCATCTAAAGCTAATTGAATCGTAGGGACACCCAGCTGGTGTCACAGAATTGGTCGATATGGGGGAACAAACCCTCACATCGGGTGTCAAAGTGTCATGAGTAGGAGAGTAAAGTGTGCATCTCCTACTTACTCCAGAAGGTTACTGTGAGACATCAAAGAGTTAATATAAATAAAGTGCGAAATGCTTCCCTGAAAACATGGCTCATGCTATATAAATGTTTGGCAGTGTAATTTGAAATAGGATGACAGTAAAGATATTGAAAAGATGTTTCTAAAATGCGTTAAACGGGATAAACAAGCAATGACCTTGTTACAAGGCAGTGATGTTTTCATGGAAATTAACAGACAAAGAGAGGCACTGTTTTACCCAAGCATGTGCTTGTTTCGAGTGGTCCACCAACGGCTCTCTAATCCTGGGTGTGTGTCTGGCACAGCAGCTGAAGTAGAGCTAGACAGAGCCTTCCAAGCCCATGTGCAAGAGAAACCATCGTCCTTGGAGCCTCTGCAGGAGGCCCCGCTGAGAGCAGGAAGGCTCAGCTCTGCCTTTTATCAGAGATTCTGTTTTACTGGCTATAAAAAGGGGTTGACAGAAGTCGCCTTGCCCACAGGGGAGGTGTGGAAGCTCCATAAACTGTAAAGTTCGGTGCAGAGGACAGGTCTTTCCATTATGATTACTGCTTCTCTCCAGTGGCTCAGGAGAAAACCACAGAATTCAGCTCACCTGGAATCCTTCAGAGACATCCCTCTCCGGCCCTCGCTCCCGCACCTGCCGCCACCTTCTTAGCAAACTCAGGAAGTCCAGGCTGGGCTGCCTTTTCTGAATGCACTTCCTTCAGAGCGGGCTTTCCAGGGAGCCCTGCACTTTAGGGAAAGGCCTCGAGGCCTCGTCTCTCCACCCAGCAACTCCTGCTTCTCTCCCATGAAGACAGGAAGGACTGGTTTGCAGGGCACCTCTCTCAGTGAGGGGTGGAAGGGCTGCAGTGTCAGTCAGCTCTTAGCTTGCCTCCTGCACAGTCAAGGCCAGCCCAGCGGTGGGCTCGAGTCAAAGGCCCGGATTTGGCTTCTGGATACATTGGTTCAAGTCTCGGCTTGGTCCCTTATTCAACTGTGTGATGTCAGCCAGAACTCTTACTCTTTCTGCTCCTCAGCTACTTCGACGCTGAATGGGACTGTGCCAGCTGCCTGCCCACCTTCATGCAGGTTGGTGTGGTCCATACGGGAAGCACATCTCAACCAGTCAAGCCCATGTAAACACCAGTCATCATTACAGCCACGCTGCAGTCGGCAAAATCTACCATTTCCCCTTATTTTGGGAAAAATGTGTATTGAGTTACACCTGAGTCCATAGTTTCTGTGCTGGCCAAGATCATGGCTGAGGCCTCTGCAGAGTCCTGTGTGTGTGCTAAGTTGCTTCAGTCATGTCCGACTCTGCGACCCCATAGATTGTAGCCCACCAGGCTCCTCTGTCCACAGGATTCTCCAGGCATGAGCACTGGACTGGGTTGCCATGCCCTCCTCCAGGGGATCTTCCTGACCCAAGGGTTGAACCCGTGTCTCCTGCATTGCAGGTGGATTCTTTACTCATTGAGCCATCCGGGAAGCCCCCAAGTATTTTTTAAATAAACATATACTCTTTTTTCCCCTTGTAGATCCTCAGATGGTCTTTCATCACTAGAGCCCAGCCAGGTTCCCCTGGGCCAAGAAAAACCATACCTAACTAGAGGGCATACAGCAGAAGCTCAATAAATATCTATGAAACTGAACTGAACTCTCCTTTCCAAAGAACACATACTCCAAACCCAGAAGCAAGATCTTTCCTGAAAACTCCAGACACAAGCTAACTGTGGTTTGCAGCTTTAAGAAAATTTTAAAAATAAGTAGAAAGAGAGGAAGAGAAGGTGCAGAGGGGGGAGCTCACAAAAGTTAATGATATTTTTTCAGCTGTGGTACGTGCCCACATTTTTAATAATTAGGAGTAATAAAAATTCTAACTGAACCTTAAAGGAACATCTTTTGTAACAAAGAGAGAAGTCAAGACAGACTTCTCTGTCGGGTGTAATGACTTGTTAGCCTTGGAAGATGGATGTACTTTAAGAAACTAATTTACAGAAAAAAATAATTGTTCATAAAAATGCAACTAATTGGGTTAAAATGACTTATTAACAGGAGTGCCAGATGATTCTTGTGCCCTTAAGGATTAAAGTCGGTTATTAATCCTCAAAATGTCTTATTTCTAGTGGAAAAAAGCCTTCTCTCTGCTTAGCAGATGAAGAAACTGAGGCTGGAGGAGGAGGGGGAGAGTGACTTGCTCGATGCAGCCCGAGGGGGGAGGACCCTAAGCTAAAGCTGGGAAGAGATCAGGAGTCCGGACACCCAGTCCTGGCTCTGTCCCCAGCACCACAAGGACCCCACCTCCCCACGGACAGGTCGACAAGGGCCCGGCCACTGACTCTGCTCACCCACTGGGTCTGAGGTCAGGCAGGGGCCGGTCGAGGGGTAGGCGGTCACTGAGGTAGGCGTTGTAGCCGTAGTACTGGAACTGCTTCAGGGCCACACGCCGGCCTTCCGGGCTGAGCTCCTGGCCCCAGTGTGCAAACAGAGAGGAGTCTGTGAAGGGCTCAGCCTCTGCCTCCTCGGGCTTGGCGGGGGCCTCTGGAGAAAGAAGGGATAAGGAGACAGTAGGTCAGAGTACACTCTTGCATATGCCATGACAACCCCTTACCCTTCCTCACCATTGCTTTGGATAAAACGATCTTAGCCCCAGCTTTGGGGGCAGGGAGGAATAGAATCGCCATGCTCCCCCAAGCTCATTTATCCTTCCATACATCCATTCATCCACCCAACCACCACTAACACAACGGATATAGACATACACCCAGCAGAGTCTGAGGGGAAGCCAATGGATGTGATCCTGATGCCCCATGGCTTTATGTCAGAACCTCCTCCTTTCCCAGTCTGCCTTCTCATCAGAGATGCTGGTCCCAGCCCTTGAACGGAGTTTCTGCTTCTCTTTCCCCAGATCACACCCCTATTCCCTGACAGCCCTGAACAGTTCCACACCCGGGTCCCCAAGCTGGGTGCCTGCTCCTTTGCCCAGTTCTTGCCGGTCTACCCTCTCTCCACTGTCTGGTCCTGCTGAGAGTTTCCTGGCCGCACCCTATTATATTCACCTAACTGCTAGGACCCTCGGCCAGACTGCCTCCTGCTGCTTCAGGCTCCGGCCACCAGGATAGGGGCTTGTTGGCACAGGGGACAGACAGACCATCCCCAACCTCCCACACACTCTGGGCCCTGCTCACTGGACCTTTGGTAGACTTTGGAGGGGCAATGCTCATACCAGGTCAAGAGAGTTCATGGTTCTCCTGGAAATTTCCAAGAAAATGGAGGGCGTATTATTACCTATAAGAGCAGAGGCTTGGATTTATATAGTGGCGGATTCAAACAAATCCCTGCCCCACTATTCACTGGCGACATGACCATAAGCAAACACTCAACCTCTTGATGCCTTGATTTCCCCACCTGTAATGTGGAGATATTAATAATAATACCTACCCCTCATTCCTGAGATCTGTGAGGATTACATGCAATAATGTACATAAAACACTTGTCTCAGAGTAAGTGCACAATAAATGCGACTCAGGGTTTCTATGGCAAGGGTAGCCTGGCGGGCCAAGTCCCTCTTTTACAGGGATAATGAGTAGGTCTTGCCAGGACACAGGCTGACTGGTCAGGACTATGGAATTCATTCCAAGGGAGAGGTAGTCAGGCCCACCATTTAAGGTCAGCAATCAGAGAAATTGAACAGGGGTGCTAAGGCCACTGGACTGGCCTTTCATGTTCATAAACATTATGTACCTAAGAGATGGAGCCTGGAATGAGACAGGGACCAGGAGGAAGCAGAAGAGGGTTCAGAACAGGAGAGGCAGGCTTAGGACACTTGCCAAAGTCCCTTTAGCTATTTACATGGAGCCAGTAGGTGCAAACACACCTATGTCAGGTAACTTAAAGGTACAGTCTGGAGACAGGTAAAGGGCTAGGGCCCCTTGGTCTTCAAGGCTGAAGAGCTCAGAGCTGCATACCACAGCTCTTACCACTACCTCCTCCTGACAGATTCTTGGAAGAGTCCATTTGGGAAGAGGAGGAGTCTTGAAAATAAGAGGGGGGCACTTCCAGCACCCAGGACACTCCTATCACAGAAGGGGTGCTCTTGGGGGAGGACACCCCATTGCTGGAGGTACACAAAGGATGTCATGGACAAGGGGGCTGTCATAGCTCCTTGCAAATTAGATAGCGAATGATTCTGAAAGCAGAGTGAGCACACCAATACCAGAGACTTGAGTCAGGGAGACACCAAAACTCGTGTACATGGAGCTGGGACTCACAGGTGCTGGGTGAACATGTGTAAGCACCTCTGCTTTTCGGGGGCCATGTCCTGGGCACATACTCACACTGGAGATCCATGTAACCGCTGGGATGACCATCACAACTAGCGCTTGCTGAGTGCTTACCATGAGTCAGGCTCTGCCACAAGCATTTTTCACATACCAACTCATTTCCCCCTACAGGCTGGGGACTGCCACTGTCACCATTGTAGAGATAGTGAACATGAGGCACACAGAGGATAAGAACCTTGACCCGGTTCCCTTAGAAGGAAGAGAAGTAGCTGAGATGCAATCTGAGGTAGTCTGTCCCCCAAGGCAGTGGTCCTAACCATTAGGCTGCACTGCCTCTACAGAGCAAAGCGCTGTATACAGGTGAATTCCAAAGATGAACATTGCCTGTTATCTCAGTTATCAGTTTTCCTTAAAGATGCAGAAGGAAACTCAGATATATTAAACACATTAGGACATTTAAAGGAGTAAAATGCGAACTACACGTGCATTTCCATGACAAAGCAAGAACTTTGGGGACTGTGGTGCTACTCAAAGCTCCATCCCAGAGCTCAGGCTGCCCTTGGCCCCTTGACTTGGTGTATTTGAAAGGAAATACAGGGCTCACCTGATCTTGAAGGTCCTTGTTATTTCTTAAAAGATGGATGGTTCATTCGTTTGGATTCAGGAATAGTAAAAATCTAAATGAGTGAACCAACTGAATCATACATATAATATTTAACACAAATGGAGTTTTATTGCTCTTACATACCTAAATGGATATTATCAAGTAAAATCAGGTCATTTAATGAAAAAATTATGATTCACAATTAGACCGGTATTGCATAAAAATGGATTATAAACATATTAAAGTCCTGAGTCCCAACACGTGCTTTTGCTTTTTTATTCAGTATGGGTACAAAGGATGACAAATTTGACAGCAGTGGGTTCTGAATGATGAGTCGGGGCAGGGCAGGGGGAAGAGGAGGTATATTTGGTGAATTTCTGCCTGAGCCAAGCATAGTGCTGGCTGATGTGTTTACCCAAGGTTATCTCTGTCATGCTCACAGGCTGGATCCCATGAGGGCAGAAGTACATCTGTCTTGTTCCCTGCTGTATCTTTGGGTCCCAGCAGAGTATGTGGCTCTTACAAGGAGATCAGTCCATCATTTCAAAACAAATCAGTTAATAAGTACCCCATAGTGGTTCATTATCAGACATAAGGAAACCAAAGATGAAGAAGTTGAATGACTAATCTGAGGTCACCCAGCTTGTCAGGGGCATTGACGCTTTCCTCTATACCACCAAGTGGCAAACTATGGTCTGAGGGCCAAATCTGGCCCACCATCTTTTACGTAAATAAAGCTTTAGTATAACACATGATATTTACTTGCTCTATATTTAGCTCTAGTGCTTTAGGACAACAAAGGCAGGGTATGACAGAGATCCACGTGGCTTGAAAAGTGGAAAAGATGTACTTTCTGGCCCTTGAAGAAATAGTATGCTGACCCCTGCTCTATACTTCACATTTGACATCTCTTAGGTAAAGAGGACTTGCCTCTGCTAATCCATTCACTTTGTTTCCTTAGGGGCACTGGCTGTAGAGACAGAATGTATACTCCAGCCCTGCCGTTCACCAGGTTAGCTTAGCTGCACCTCAGTTCCTCATCTGGAGAGTGGAATGGGTACTAACAGTACCTTCTTCTTAGACCATTGGTGCATATTCAATGAGAAGGTCCATGTGAGAGCTTAGCACGGTGCCCAGCACATAATCAATGTTAGCACAGGAAGCGTAGTGGCTATGGACACACATCGCCCCGCAGCCCGCCGGGGTGCTCCTCCACTGACCCTTCTTGAGCTCAGATGAGGAAGATGGATAGCCCTGCCCTGAGGTCCCAGGTCTGGAAGACGCTGCGGCTGTGTAGCCCCAGATGAAGGGCACCCATGTCGACAGAGTGGCCTCCCCTTAACCAGTCCTAGACTCAACCCCCTGCTCTCTCCAGTAAGAAAGCAGACCTATAAGAAGGACCACGTCTGACACAGGGTGACAAAGAGGCCCCACGGAAGTGCCTGGGCTGGGTCCTCCGCAGGGGTTTAGGGGTGTCCAGACACATCTGGTGAGGCGCAAGACCCACAGACGTCTCTCACCCAATGATCAGGTGTCCCCGAGGGGCAGACATGGGCTGTGGCCCCTGCTGGGGTTCACTCTTGACTCACGGAGGGGGGGACCTGAGAGATGAGTATATTCAGGGGGCCGAGGGCCCCCACGGCAGAGCTCATTCAGGGCACAAATGAGGACACAAGGAACTCGCTGGGCACTGAGCCAGTGTTCGGAGGGTTCTGAGCACAGCACGGAGGCCGTGGCCCAGCCCACTCCTCACCCTGCCCTGAGCTCCTCTGTGTCCTAGGGAGAAGCAGGCGAGAGGGAACACTGAGGGGCCCGTTCACTAGACAGTCACACACGGGGCACAAGCAGCACCCCTGTAACGCCCGGGCAGGGGAGCTGGCCCTCTGCCTCCCCTGCCTCACCATGAGCAACCACGTGCTGTGGGCTGCAGGGGTGCCCCAGCGGGGCCCGACTCACTGGGGACACTCACTGGAGACGCACTGGTTGAGGGGGCAGTGCCATGCTCTGCCCCTCTCTGCTCATGACCTCCCCATAGCCAGTGGTCCTTCTTGGCCTCCGGACAGATGGTTCTAACAGAGCGAAAACTAGAGAACAAGAACTAGAGCTGCCAGGACCTCAGCAGGCCCAGGACGGCCAGTGAATGGGGAAGGAAGAACCACAACACAAACTGCAAGTCTGAAAGGCTGGATTTGCCATAATGTGATTTGGAAATAGTTTCTGAACCTTCAAGCACACATGCCAAAGTGCCACTTGCCAACCATCACCAAAGGTTCTGTCCAAAGCGGCCAAGTACCACTAAAAAATTATTTGAGGTCCAATGAGGAGGGGACTACAGGCTAATCTTGGGTGTTTACTGCAAAACCTTGCCCCTGAAGCTGATCCCCTCATACACTGTACCCCAAGACCAGGCCATCACAATGGCCGCACGATGTAGGTTCTATCGTTCCCATCACAGATGAGAGGGGACTGCAGCTCAGAGACAGGAAAGAGCTTGATGCTGAAACCGTCCTCCTGACCACAGCCCGGCCTCCATGTCGTGGGAGAGATACACTGCCTGGCCTGAGGACTGGAGGCACTTCAGGCCCTGGGAGGCAGCTGAAGTTGGTCTGCACTGGTTCACAGCAGCTGTTAACACACTGCAATACCTTCAAAGC